CCCCAAAACCCCAAAACCCCAAAACCCCAAAACCCCATGAGTCCAAATTGGGATTGATAGTAATCCAATATTTAATTCTAAAATCAAGAGATGCTTTATATATTTAACAAGATAATCAATACTTAGCCTGTCTGGAAACAAATGTTTTAGAGCATCATTGATACCTTAACTTTCGATCAGATTATTGATCAATTCCTCTAACCTCAATCAAAAATTTAAGATAGCAGCTAATGTTATGATGAAATGCCACTTGAAAATTACTTGAATGAGTAGTATGGATTCTCAGTTTTACAATGCAACACTAAACAGCTCGATGATGATGATCTTCCGTTAAATGGAGATTTTCCGCAACAAATTCCAAATTTCCTGAATATTTAAGAAGATTAATAGCTAACAAGTTCTATTAATACTCAGGAGAATTCCCCCTATAATCTGGAATTCTTTTTGAAGTCTAGTAATTCTTTGATTCTAGATGCTTATGATAAAAATATTTTATCTCAAAATGACGATGACTTAACCCTAAACAGTATACCGAAATTTGCTAATAAGAGCGTTAATTTGAAGGAACCATAAAAACTTCAAGCAACTACAAACTAACATGAAGATTCGAACGATCACCTGGAATCCTTAGATTTAAACGTAGCAATTAAAAGATACAGCAAAAAATATGACATTAAGATATCACATATAAATACTATTCCTCTGATCAACCAAATCAAGAAAAAATGCTTTCTTAGATTAGATTGTCAAGAATCCCTTGAACTACTAAAAGTTTAAAAACGGATTCACTTAAAATCAGTAAAAAGAAAGGATGTTGTATTAAAAACAACAATAAGAGAGATAAGAAGAACATACTTGCAGTAATTCAAGCAAGATAGCAAATTCTCAAGCGTGAGCAGGTATCGACATTAAAAATATTATCTGTTCGCTATATAAAAGTTTGTCACCAAACTATTTTAAGGCTCACTAGAATTTGAAGCAAAGTAAAATGATGACTCAGCCTCAAAACAAAATTAATTATTCAATGAGCTAGTATTTTTTCTTGGCTCAGTGTTTTATCCGAATAAAATGATGAGATTAATTGATGATGAGGGTGGGAAAAAAATAGTCAAATTGATTGATACTTCTCTACATCAGTTTACCTTTCAAAGATTATGCTTTTTGGGTTAATGGGATGCTTTTAAGCATGTCCTTCAACATTATATTGATAATTTCAACCACAAATCACATTTATAGAATAAGCATATTGCTTCCTCAATCGAAAACTTCGAGAAAAGCATTAATTTCCTAAAAGGCATGATTTTATAATGACCATATTAACTAGAATGATATTCAGGAATTAATGTTCTAGATGAATTGTTTATTATAGGTTCTTTAATAAGGCTAGACATTACACAATTTCTATGAGATAATATTAATCTTGATTCAAAATTAATATTTAATAAACAATAAGCATTATTTTTCTATCTTTTTCACTAATTTTTATTTAAAATTATGCTAGTTTAACATTAAACAAGATCTATGGGGTTTTGGGGTTTTGGGGTTTTGGGG